CATGTACGTTGGGTAAGGGCAAACCTGTTAAATATAATAAGTCACCTGTCAACTTAGAGTAGTGCCTAAAGATTACTCTGTGCGGCTATAAACGACTGTTAAATGGAATGATGACTTGTTGAAGGATTTTGAAAACGGAAAAAATGATAGTCATGCTGGCCAAGCATCATCAACGTTGAAAAATGCCCCAGGACGAAGTGGTTAAACATGCTTTTGGACCTTCACAGATTAAAATGAAATTCAGTGTGCCGATTTGATTCCTAGAGAAACCCCCAGAACTGAAATTTTACATCAATCGATATATAGTTTTTGAGATACGGGTAAACGAACTTTTGCCTAATTAGCTTGACCTGCTATGTTTGGAAAGACATCTCTCCTGATGTTGGTTAAAGAAAATTATGCATTTGGAAAAATGTTTTGTTTATCAAAGTCAACTGTCATTTGCATAATTTTGGGTACATACATGTATCCATCATTGGTAAGGGGACAATGTTTCTCCCCTTTGAGAGGAAGCTTGGCATGTGTTTTTACCTGGGTCTTGGGGTAACAGTCCCCACTCAATATACATGTACATGTACACACAAATTAAAATTGATTGACATACATTTTTTGTTAAAATTACAGCAGAATTAAGTCAAATTGTAATTTTTACCCAATGGGCATTTTTACCCCAGTTTACCCTGTGACAGTATTTTATTCTGAAAGATTGGATATTGGTACATGTTCTGGGTAACAGCATATACCACCTCCATAGAGTGTACATGTACATGTACTGTACTTGGCATTAATTAAATGCAGCAAAAAAGCCACATTTCTTTTGTACATAATACCTACATGTAGTACATGAAGACATCAGAAATTGTTTACAGTCATTTATGTAGGACAGCCTTGCAAAAAAACAAGGCCCTTTTCACACGACGAAAAAAAAAATTCACAAGGCTCGAAGCGGGGATTCTTAACTTTACAAACCGCGATTGTGTCCTTTCACACACGCACCGTGTAACATTTCCTAAGCATTCCTTGAGACGTGAACACTTATTCCATGGGTTGCCAGTGAACTCCAGTGAACTCCACACTTAGTAAGCTCAAATACCGCTAGAGCATTGATGAAAAATGGCTGACACTACACTGGCAGAGTCAAACTTGCAGACAAAAAAAAACTTCCCGAAACCGATGTTTCAGGGAGTACCAAGAAGCAGCAAAGTTCCAAGAAGGGCTGGGAGTATGATGAGACTCTCAGCCTTATAACTGCCATGGAAATGCCACAATTAAGGCGGAGATGGACAGCATGGTCCACAATAGCCATGTGAGGTGGGAAGTCGCAGGAGGTATTCCCGATCACACCAGCGAGCAGTGCAACGATCGCAGGACATACCTGAAATGACGCTACATACACAGAAAAGGTATCAGAGTTTACGGGCGCGCGCGCTGTGTGGGGTTGCAAGTCACTATGCATGAGCACTGTGTAGGTTATCACAGGGGACGTTGTACAATAAACAGTGCATCCATTCACACGACCGTTTTGCATGGATTGCTTGAGAAATCTCCCGCTAGCGGAAGATTTTGTCATAGGTACGGACGTCCTCAAAGTCAAACGTATCTCAAGGATGCACCAGGAAATCTTGTCACTCTCAAGCATTGGCGACCTTTCACATGATGGCATTTTTGTAAAAATGTAAGATTTCTCAAGCATGAGAAAATTTCTCAAACCTCAAGGACTCAAGATTCCATCCCTCATCTTTGAAAATGGTTAAGCTGATGCAGACAACTACTGAGTCTGATTGCTACGCCCCAACTGTAGCATAAGTCCCAACTATAGTTGGGACAGTCCCAACTGTAGTGCTGCATTTTCAAGATGTATTTAGTGCTGCAGTTGGGCTGGCCCAACTATTGTTGACCAATGTCTGTGAAAAATGTCTCAACATTATCCAAGTCAATGTGTCTCACACTTGACACAATTCATATAAAATGTGGCACTTCATCTGTTCATCTAGCCCTATGATCAATGACATGACATTTGTAAACAATATGACTTTGGCACATGCTGGGCACATCGTGCACACAAGACCTCTCTGCTGTAGTTGGGCCGACCCAACTGTAGCGCTCTAGTTGGGACGGGCCCAACTATAGTTGGGACCGATGCTGTAGTTGGGGCGTAACATGATTCTGAACTTTGACTGAAGGCAGCATGCTGGCGATGAAGCGGAGTAACACACACACTCTGCACCGTATCATCAGTGTACGCCCGAAAGTTGGGCATGTCGTGCATGTTTGGACTTTGAAGAAAAATCTACTTTACACAAGGAGTCACTACTCAGGTGGTTTTCCTAACTCTATGGCACGTGTGTCCTAATTATACATGGGGAAACTTACACGCAAGTTGCCACAACTTGATTCCTCCGAATCTTTCCGAGTGGACAAGATCACTGGTTCACCATTTCCACACATCAGTACAGTGACACCGTACCTGCAGCTTTTCAGTGTGATTTCAGTCTTGTTTCAAGACGTTATTGTTGAATTTGTATTACTCCAAATGTTCTTGAGGGCGCTATTACTATTGGCAGAAAGACGTAGTTATTCTGACCAGAGGAAATTATTTTCCTGTTTCTCTCAGCTCAGACTCAGATGGTCATAAATAACGCCGCGGTGAGCGTTGTGGTAGGGATTAAATTCTGTAACGAGCTTTCTTGACCAACTCATTCATATTTATTTGATCCAGTATCTTTGTGAATACTTCATTCCAGCCTGAGGTAAAACGCTATCGTCTGAAGGGAAGGGGGGAAACCCTGCGCTTATCAACACTATCACATCGTGCCCTCGTGTATTTTGCTTTAAAAAATCTTCAACAATCAAGTGCAAAGGCAAGAGGCACAATTGTGCTAAGCAGTCATCGTCCTGTGGTTTAGATGAGTAGCTACTCAGCCTCATTCATATGGAATTCTGAATCTGTACAGACCATAAAGTTGGATATTATTACTATAATATTTTTATGACATAAAAGGATCAACTGAGATATATGGACTATGATGGGCATTTCTATTTATAAAACTTAACATGCCTTGCCTACATTAAAATTATATGAATTATGCCAAGCCAGTTGCCCTCGTCGTCGGCTGGTTTTTTGTTTTTAATAAAAAGTCAACATGTTTTCATAGGGTAACTCACTCCCCCAATTTTGGATATGCCAATGACGAGGTAGACCTCGCGCGCGTAATGCTTTTCCCAAATGTCTCAAAGGAGCTTCAAGTTTTTGGCAGTAACCTAGCTAATAATATATATAACTCTGGGCTCAATTTAGTGGGGTTTTTTTAACTGCTTCTCGTGTGAAGTCCCTAGCTCAGCTTTTCCCGGGTTGCAAGTGTATTTTTACTGTCTAAAAACATAGATGTATCCGCTATTTAAAAAAAAACCATAATCCGACAATAATAACCGTTCTATAAAAGTTTTACAAAAATTAAAATTGGGGTGGGGTGAAATTGTTTCCCCTTTGCTCACGATGCTTGATTTGACCCCTTTCGTGTAAAATGGGAATGAAGAAATTTGAATTTGACATAAGCCGTTTCTGACTACCTTCGTTCACATTATCCCTTTTACCCCACCGTAAAATGCCCCTTCAAAAACAGTGGGGCTGGGAGTTTTATCAAGTATATGGGCAATCTCTTTGATGTGATGTGAAACAGTGAAATACCTTTTTTTCAAACAAATCAACCTCTGCTTTTAAAGAGCAGAAATGGTATCAAGTAACAACCAGAGTTGTAATGACTCGACTCATTTTTGGGTGACTCGACTCGACTCGAGTCTCTGCTGTAAAATGACTCGACTCGAGTCACAAAAATCAGTGACTCGTTACAACTCTGGTAACAACTTGGTGAGTTGCCCAAACGTCATCCTTGAGATTTGAAGGACTAAGTTCTCAACAGTGATTCCGCTCAGTGATTACCCCTGAACTTTGTTGGACGATATTGACGGCTGCAAAATCAAGACTAATATAGACACGCAACAACTCTGGCATGTCAGGTGCGAAGGTCATGTTAAATTTACTGGTACCCATCAACCCATTGAGACCGAAATTGTAGACCAGCGAAAACGTGTACAGTTCGTCTGTATTTGATCAATAGTGTTGATATGTTATGATAGTGCACGTCGTCGCGTCATGTGAGTCACAGACCGACTGGCACGACTGAAGCGATGGTTGTACAGTACTGTCATTTTTGCGATTTAAAAACACATTATTTGTCAGATCATAGGTTCACTTAAATGTTCATTTTCTTCACAGGGCCAGGGATTGGCAGTGTTACAAATTGATAAAAATTTACAAGGTAAGTTCTAATCATACTATAGCTGTCATGGCTGTGGATCATTTATCATGTTTATCGCTGATACTGTACCAGCCTAGGCCTACACACAATCTGACAATGACATATGACACAAACTACGTCAGTACGTGACTTCCCTGCTTTATCATCTGGTCATTCGTGCATCATGCAGTTATGGCACTGCAATGCATGTACATGTAGTTTTGACATTTAAAATTTTGAAAATTTAGTTCATTTTGGGCCCCTAAGCCTATTTGAAAATGTTTAGGTATACACCTACATGTAGCCCAGTACAAAAGTAGTCATGGTGGTAGTACAGTAGGGCCTGGACAACTTGACTTCGGATAACTCAACTGTTGAGACAATTCGACAACTTGACTGTACGTCCTGCAGTGTCGCAGGCTCACAATAGACCACATTGTGTTTAATGTAGCTTGGTCCACAGGCAAACACTGTCTCAGTTCAAGGTAGAAATTAAAAGGTAGAAATTGCAAGACCCAGTCCTACCATGTATTTCTTGAACTGAAACAGTGTTTACCTGTGGGCCAAGCTACCACATCAAACACAATGTGGTCTATTGCAAGCCTACGATACTGCATGTACTAAGCACTAGCTACGTGTACATTAGTACATGGCAGCGTTTTGACAACGATATCATCCAATCCCCCTTTGAGCGCAAATGGCCGAAAGGGGATTTTTTGTTGGTGGGGAAACGCAGGATCATTTTATTCATTAGGGGGTCACAATTATAACATTAGATTTATGATGTTTTTGAAATGGTTACGTACAGTGTATTTATTGTTATTTTGAAATACTTCACCTGAACTAAATGTTTAACTTTAGGTTAATTAAAGCAATTGAAAATGTGACTGTGCTGCAGGAAACCTGTGGAAAAACCATATTTTTTCAATAAAGAGGGGGGAAATTTTCTGCTCGTTGATATCATTACTAAGATATTATATGTGTTCAGCAGTAGAAGAGACATTAATTTAATTTGTAGTGTCTCCACATGGTGTGGAGATACTAAACAAAACCTGAAAATAATTAGCATTTTTACCCCAGTTGACCCTACATGTACAGTGTACAATGTACATGTACATCATGAGTAGGTCCTGAAGAGAAATAATGGATTCTGAAGAAACTTATAAATTGATTTTTGACTGGTTCATTTCCCTCATAGCCTACATGTAGGTTCATGCGTAAAAATACATGGCACGTGTTCCATCTAATCACATGATATATTGAGATTGTTAAAAGGTTTGATTGACCACTGTTGGCTGTGCTGTCCCTACCTCTTGCCAATATTCTGGATGCTTACCCCTATCTTTTGTCTCACACATTTCAATAATTTACAAGTTCAACTCGGGAATTGACTAATCTAAATGTAAATTTAGCTGTCGATTATTTCTTTTTCCTCATCAAAGATGTACCATTGCAGTTGCACACTGGTGTAAATTGAATCTTCAGGTAAACATTTCATGCAACATTTCAAGCAAGAAATTTAGACATTACTCTATTTCAAATTTTCAATATTTGTTTAGCTTTTCTCTCTTTCAAAAATTTGAAAGCACAACACGGGTACACATATAATGCAGCAAAATTTGTCCTGACTTGCAAGCTTGAATTTTACCCGTAGTGCTGGCCAGTAATTTGGAAGACATGTGGATATCGCCATTGTCGCCACGGCCTGCAAATTTAAATGGTTAGTTGGCCAGCTACAAGCATGACAAGTAGACAGTGCCCTCT